ACCAGGACATGGCTCATTGGGGCAGGCGTGCCTCCTTTTGGGCCATGTCTTGGAGTATCTCAACCACTGACTTACCAGCCTCTTTATTGTTACTCTTGTTCTCCTCGTTCCTATACATGCGGGTCTCATGCTGCCGAAGACCTGGGAATGTGTCAAACGTTGCGGGACAGTGTAGGCATAGGTTTCTGTCACGCACGCCACAGGTCTTCATGTGCTTAGCAAGGCCGCTCTTTGTCAAATAACCCCTTGCACAATTGGGGCATGCGAATTGTGGCAATTCCTTATCCTGTGGGGGGGGGGGGGAGGAGTGGCCGTAGATCTGGCTCTCCCCGTTTTAGTAAGGTCAGTGACCCCCCTCTGTGTATTCGAATCCTGTGGATTCGCAGTCGATGGGAGACTCTCCCTCCTACTCCTTTGCTGGACCAGCGTGTCCGTTATGGGAGTGCTTGGAAGAGAATCCCTTCTGCCAGTGTTTGTTTGACGTCCTGGCGATGTCGTAGGCAACCTTTTTGTCTTGGAAGGTGCCGAACCTTTTGAGCTGTTGCTGCTCATGGTGTGTGAGTGGGTAGGATGCAACGGTGGTAATAGTAATCACACGTCAAGGGTCCGTTGCGTTCGAAATAGCTTCGCGCGCTATGTTTAGCCGGTAGAGGTTGATCGGTTGATCGCAAAGTCAGCTGTTGGCGCCACCATGCGAAAATACTCCTAAAAGGGGTCTGTATGTGCCCTGAAAATTTGGGCCAAATCAGGGAAACTTTAGGTCTACCCCCAGGTATAAATTTCCGTTACAGGAATATTTTATATGGAAATTAATAATTTCGACTGTGTTTCGCAGGTATAGACTTAGCCGAAGTTTTACCTTGGACTCTGACGAATTTTTCGAAAGAATCCTAATGCTCGACAGGGTAAGGACATAGCCGAATCTCGAGGAAGTGAATAGTCCGTTTCAAGTATAGACTTGTAAAAATCTGGGCAAAAGTTGGGTATGTCGAAAATCGAAGGGAAAGTCGAGTTTTTTAGGGTGGGAAGATGGTCCCAGAGTGGGGGTGAGTGGGCCAAAAGTTCGGGAATTTGGTAAGGATTAAAACGACTCCTCGAGGGGTAAGCTAGCTCAACCCTAAGGGGCAGGGGGTTGTTGGAGGGGGTTGGGGGTAGTTTTTCGGGCTATGTGATGTGAGGACTCTGGGGTCCTTAAATCTATCATTAAGTCCGGTATTTTCCCAACGGCGTTCCCAGAAATCGATGAGATATGTTTGTACCTTTGGCAATCGGAATCTTCGGACTTAGAAAAATTTTGGAGGATCTTAGATGTTTATCGATATTTATATAGCAGGATTCGGAATCGTTTAAGCGGGCCTCTCCGTAGCCCAGTGTGTTTCAGCGCTGGGTATTTTCGAACGCAACGGACAGCGGGTCGTGGTTCGACTCCCGCTGGCAGGAGGACTGTACTTTTTTTTATTTATTAAATTAATTAAATAAAATTAATAAATTAATGTGATGGTGTGTCGAGCTCATTGGCATGTACAGGGCCTGACAATAACATTATAAAAAATGTGGCTTCAGATTTAAATAGCAGATAAGCGGCCTAAAGTGAGGTCTGACCGTGTTCTGCGATGGTAATTTGTAAATAATGTTAAAATATATGTACCTACCGTGTGTAGAAGAAATGCATCCTTTAAAAATTGCACTATCCACTCACACACCGTAAACCTTCACTAATTCAAATTCGCGATCGGAGCCCTATACTGGGGCCCTTGGTACCGACGCAACTTAGAAAAATATACTTTCAGAGGATTTACAGAGATATATGTTGCGCTCTCTGAAAACACGACCGTCCTCTTTGAAGGTTCTACTACAGACATGTATAGTAAAGCTCTGTTTTCTAAAAATATGGGACCCAATAATATCGACATTTGTAAAAAAATTCCTGGCACCTTCCTTACAAAAATTGTGAAAGAAAGTATAATCTATACAAAATAGATTTTTATAATATTTTACTCTTACAGTCCTTTGGTTTTTACTAATATTATCCTAAAATAAGTGCTCTATAAGAAATTTTCTTTTTTTGTTGGGTAATTTGTAAAAAAACAAAATTGTGTTCATCATTTTTTATGTTATTGTAGAACCTCAGCAGACTGGTGAAACATTTTTTCGCAAGTTCTTGTACATGTAAATATTTGGCTTTTTTTATTGGAAGAGGGCCAGAGTATAAAAACTGATCGGAATTTGGTAATGTTAAAACAACTCCTGGTTTTTACAAAATAAATTCCTCGTAAAATATTGCACTATCCATAGTATTGCATCTGATTGATCTTACATTATATTCTATTTTTCAATATGAAGACACGGAAAATTTAATTTTACGTTGGTTAGAGACGCTTTTTTTACATAAAGATTTAAAATGGTTCGAAAAGTTTAAAAATATATTTTGGGACACACTTCGGCTACCCATTCTTCTAGCAAACTGATTTTTTCCCTTTCTTTTTTCCTTTTCGAAACTGTGATCCGGTTCTGGATAACGATGTATGATGTTTGAAAATGTTTCAGTATGACCTAGAATATACAGGTAATGGATCAAGGTCTGATTTTTGTTTTGTGAGCTGCAGTTATCAGAAAAAATACATAGGGTTTTTATGGTTTTTAATATGCTGCCCAGCTAGCACATAACGTTGCCAAGCCTTTTGGCGATGTTGTTTAAAAGAAACGTAATAATATTTCTATACAATGTATATGTAACGTTTACGAAAGGTTGTTGAGAGATAAAAACCTCAGAAAACTTCTATTTGTTGCTTACCTATTTAACCTGCCCGTTACGTTAACAATACGTAATAGCATTAACTGCTATAAAATGTATCTACGAGAAGTTCTATAAACTTTACATTATTATGACATTGTGTATGTTTAAATGTAATCTTTTAAGACTCAGAATCCTGACTTTCATTAATGGTTATTTCTGCTTGTTTAATTGGAATCACTGATTTGCACAAATGTGGAACGAATTCGTAAAATGCTGAACATAGCATTTCGTTCATACTAACCTAACAAAATTTGACAGATGTCTCTGGTTTGATTTCACGGTTGGGGTAATGTTTGGCATGGCTGTTTGGCGCTTTTTCTTGTCTTGTAATTATAGGTAAATTAATGGTTGTCGTGTCGAAAAGTGAAGTAGTTAGTGACATAGAAAAATAAAAATTAGCGTGAAATTAACGGTAAGAGTAAGTTACTCATATTTTATTATCCTATTATTAAAATATACTTAAACGAAAAACCGTGAAATGCTTGTCCGATAGGCAAAAGAGGAGATTGAGGCAGCAGGTTTTAAGGGACCTTACGGATGCTGACAATGGTGTGCATATGCTTCGACCTCCTCTATTAATGATTATGAACGCGAGATTACTAATGATCAAAAAAATTGAGATTTTGTCGCCTCAGCCTGCTGCAACAAACTCTTCTTTTTGTCTTGAGACTCCTATATCAAACAATGATTTCGACCCCGATGAACAACTTGATATAAGTGCTGGGGAAAATGAAAGTAATAATTCTGAATGTTTATGTGGAGATTATGAGCTTAATCAAGCCGATAGGGATAGGGATTTGAGAAAGTGGGCAGTTTAGTGCCATACAACAAAAATTCTTCAGGTTTTAAATAAAAATAAAATAAATGTACCACTTGACGCTAGGACATTACTAAAAACACCGAGAGTAGTTGAAACACAACAACTTAGTTCAGGGGAATATTGCCACATTAGTATTAAAAAGTCAGTTTTAAAATGTTTAGATTCGCTTCCATTAAATTCAAAAATTCCTAAAAATATTACAGTCAACATTAATATTGACGGCTTGCCATTCAGTAAAAGTTCAGGTAGTCAGTTTTGCTTCTCATACATTTGATAATTTATTTTTTAAACCTTTTGTTATCGGTCTTTACTATGGACAAAACAAACCCAATTCTTTTAATGAATTTCTAAAACCTTTTGTTGAAGAAATATTAGCTGTTCAAAATCATAAGGTAAAGTTATGTAAAAATAAGACAAGACATATTTTGGTTAAAAATGAGATTTTTTACCACTAAAAATTATTTGAATGAGATGCAGACAAGAAGTAATAAAGTCTACATGTTGTAGATCCTAATTGCATATTTATTCATACAACAATATTAACCTATACAAAAATAATTTAATACAACTCAATAAGTCGAATTTTTATGACCAAAACTTTAAAAATTGCCGCACAAACTTTGTTGCCACGCCGGTGGTAATTCATCGGGCGCGCTCGATCAAGGTCGCAGTTTGAAGACTGAGGTGTACCGGCGCTCTGGGAACGAGCCGGACCAGCGTTGCCAGCATCAGTACAAACGTACTGAAATCAATACATTTGAATAAGCTTCAGTACGTCAGTACAACATTTTATGTATCAGTACATTTTACGATTCCACTACACGCTACATTTTACATGTGTATGCTTCTTTGCTGCGCATGACCGTTTCTAACCACAGACATGAATCTACTTTTATCCATGCCACTGGCCTGGTGCGTCATATAGTCAGAGATTAGGAAGGTGACAGGTTTGTTCATTGTGTCACTGTGTAAAAAGAATAAGAGAAGGATCATAGATGTCAGCTGTCAAACATTAATGTTGTTTTTTGGTTCTTTCGTTCGCTGTTGGTGCAATGTGCACCAGTGCCAATTACACCACCTTATTTACATAGTTTACTTCCTCCTAATTATTCCTTATACATGTGTCGAGTGTAATTCACTCCTGCTAAATAACTGGTGGAGAAAATATCCACCAGTGGACACCACATCGCCGACAGGAAGGGGTAGTGGATTTAACACCGCGCCAAACGAAAGGTGTAGTTCATTCTCACACCAGTGGGATGAACGAAAGAACATACATTTACTATAACCTGTCACCTGTCACTGTGGTCCTGTTATTCACATGGCTCATCATTTTTTTATCTGTATGCAAAAAAATATGTTTACCTTCTAAAGTTTTTAACAATGTTGTGTTCTACTGATAACAGTGATAACGAAGAATATAACTTGCATCCAATAAGTGAGGATGATGTTCAATCTGAAAATACCGAGGAGAATTCTGAGGAAAACGAATCGAAAAATAAGGAACCTACTAATTGCAAGGTTTGTAGTAATAGGTACATGTTTAAATATATTTTTAAATACCTATACTCTTTTTTTTTTAGAAAAAGAGAAAATTAAAAGTACAATATGTCCAAAAGTGTCGTCTGGCATATATTGAAAAATTTAAATGGATAATTGATAAAGATGGGTGTAGTTTTTGTAAATATTGTCAGAAAGTAGTAGTTGGTGGTTATTCACATTTATCAAGACATGAAAATAGTTTAATGCACAAAAAGAAAGAAAGGGCTGTAAAAAATTGTATTGACATAAAACAGTATCAAACCAAAATTGACAAAAAAAAAGTATTGGCAAGAAAAATAAAAGAATGTGAATTAAAACTTACAATGCTGATAATTGAACACAATTTGCCGATGATTTTAATGGATCACCTTCCCAAGTTGTTCATATCAGCTGCCCCTGATTCACAAATTTTAAAAACTGTTACTTGCTCTAGAACCAAGACAACCAGTCTACTTAAAAACTTCCAGGCAGATAGTGAAAGAAGCATTTCATGTATTTTAAAAGAAAATAAATTTTCTGTCATAATAGATGAAACTACTGATGTTTCTGTAAAGAAATCTTTAGCTATCCTTGTTAGATACACCGATTTAGATCTGCAAAAAGTTAGGGATCGATTGCTTGCTTTGGTTGAAGTCAATGATTTAACGGCAGAAGGAATTTTAGAACAAATTTTGGCAGTCATTAAAAATTTATGTATACCAATACCAAATCTAATAGGATTTGCAGCTGACAATGCAGCCGTTATGATGGGCAAATACAATGGGATGCAAGCTAAGTTGCGAGAAATAAACCCCCATATTTTTGTCATGGGCTGTATCTGTCATTCTCTACACTTATGTGCATCAGCTGCTGCTGAGAAATTGCCAAAACAGATTGAAGATTTTGTAAGGGACATCTACAATTATTTAAATTGTAGCAGTAAACGCATTGGAGAGTTTAAAGAATTCCAAGAGTATGTGAGACTAAAACCACATAAACTTTTAAGACCCAGCCAAACAAGGTGGTTATCATTAGAAGTGAGTTTTAGAGTATTAACTATTGTCCATAATTTACTTACATAATTACTATTTATTTCAGGCTGTAGTAAAGCGTACCCTTGAACAATGGCCAGCTCTTGTCTTGTATTTTAATGCAGCCATACTAGAAGACAACTTGGTTGCAGCATCTACCATTCATAATTCATACATAATTCATACAAATTATATATAAAACTTTTCTTGTCTACATCTTGCCACTTATTACAAAACTAAATCTAGAATTTCAAGCTGAAAAATCACAAATTCACAATATTTATGATAGAATTCAAACAGTAACCAAAACTATATTTAAAAACTTCATGAAGAATGAATATGTAGATAGAAGAACAATTTTAAATTGTAACGAATTGGCTCTAGGAGAGTATAAGCCTATTGAACATATATACTTGGGTGCAAATGTGGCAATATTGCTTAGAACAGAAAAGTTGGATGACCATGATATTCACATTTTAAATTAAAATGTTTATCATATTATATAGAACTTTGTTCTCAAATAAAAAAACGATTCCAGAATTTAGATTTATATAAAAAATTCCAGTGCTTAAATCCAAAGAATGTTGTAAATGGTAATACAAGCATTATTGATTTGTTGTTGCAATTTCCTAGTATTTGTAATAATAAGACAGAAGAAATAAGTAGTGAATTCAGGGAAATATGTAGTCTTCCAGAATCTGTTAAAATTGAAATTTCAGAGCTTGATGTTGAATCATTTTGGTTCAAATTATTTAACTTGAGAAATGCTGTTAATGAGAATTGCTTTAAAAATGTTCTTTATTTGTTTTTAACATCCTTGCCCTTCCACATAGCAGTGCCTGTGCAGAAATAATTTTTTCCAATTTAAATAACATTAAAACAAAAAATATAAATCGTTTACTTGTTACTACCACTAATTCTTTATTATTGGGCAAAGGAGTTTTGGACAAAAAACAATGTTTTGAATGGACACCGTCCGAATTTTTAATAAATAAAAAAGTTGAATATTAAAAAGGTTGTTATAATTTGGTAAGGAGTAAGAAATTAAATTCCCTAGACCTGGGGACCTATTTTCAAAGTATTTGAGCACTCATTTCTCTCAAGATTCTCATCAGAAATGTGTAAATGCTGATTTTAAAGGCCTCGATGATCAAAATTCTTAGGAGAATTTTAATTATCTCTAAATAAACCGAGAGAAACAGCCAGTGAGTTCACACTGGCCCTATGGGTCCTAAAAATTCGATTTTACGTTGACTGACTTATGACATTTCTCTTGAGAGAAATGAATTCTCTCGAGTTTAAAAATAGCCCCCCTGATGAGTTGCCAACTCTAATCGTGAAGAGCGATAGTCGTGCCCCAGAAAACACCAAAAAGCTCTACTCGCTATTGACTAGCAGGAGAGCAACTGCAAGACTTTGTATGGTAGTGAATTCAAATGCAAAATTTTAATTTACCATGGACCTGACACAAAACGTTTAAAGCACAGCACGTCACCAACTCAATACTTTTATTCTTTCATAAGATCTGTGTTCATAATTCTATTTTTTCTTATTTCGTCAGTACATTTATTCTTTGATCAGTACATTTTTCCCTACTTGGTCAGTACTTTTTTTTCAAGTCTCTGGCAACGCTGAACCGGACAGTCTGCTGCTAAGAGTCATTGAGTGAATACGTGTTATTTTGCCGGGGTAAATTTAAGACGCCACTTTGGGTAAATATGAGACGCTTCATGGGGTAAAAATAAGACATTTATATACCATTTCCATTATAGGTTCTACAATACACAATGACTAGAAATGCAAAGCCGTACACAGACGAAGACCTAAAAATGGCGCTTACCTTAGAAAAGGAAGGTAAGTTGTCTATTCGATCCGCCTCGAAAAAATTCCGCATTGATAAATCAAAACTATCTCGAAATATTAACCGTAAAAATATTTCAAAACGTGGGCGCAAACAAGCACTAACTGACGAACAAGAAAAAGATCTGACTGAAAAAATAAAAATTATGGCTAAAAGGGGATTTGCTTTATCTAAACAAGAATTTCAGTCAGTTGTACAAACATATGTTAATGAAAACGCCATGAAAACGGTATTTAAAGACGGCAGACCTGGCGACGATTGGTTCCGTTTGTTCTGTAAGAGGAATCGAGTGAGCCAGAAAAAAATGGAACAGCTGGAAAAGTGTAGGAGAACGGCTACCAGTGACCCATTTATAATATATTCCTTCTATATTCGCCTGGGTGAAACAATTGAACAACTGGGTCTACAAGACAAGCCTTCACATATATTTAACTTGGATGAAACTGGGTTCAATTTGGATCCAGGTAGAATTAAGGGAGTTGCCGCAGTGGGCCAGAAAGTTCACAGAAGCATAGAAGGGTCTGGCAAAGAAAATATAACGACAATGGCATGCATTTCTGCTAGCGGTGTGGTTATTACCACCTCTAATTATATATCAAGGGCAAAACCTATAGAGCACTTGGAAGGGCTCAAATGATTTGAAAGATACTTGCTACGCCGTCTCTGATAAGGGCTGGATGACAACGGCTGTTTTTAATAGTTGGTTTTCCAAATTTTGTACGATGATTTCAGAAAGGCCGCTATTACTTATAATGGATGGACACGTCTCACACCTGGATAGAGGAACCATTTAACTTGCCTTGCAAAATAATATCACTTTGTTTAAATTACCACCTCACGCCACAGATATTTTGCAACCATTAGACAAGTGTTGCTTTGGACCACTGAAGCTTAAATGGAATCAGAAACTTACAGAGTGGCAGAGATTAAATCAGAGACGTCTCACCAAAAGCGAATTTGCTGATATAATCTGCGAGCTATGGAACGAAGGGATTACAGAGGTCGTAATAAAAAAAAAGTCTTTTGAATCAACTGGTAATTTTCCTTGCTCTAGGGAAAAATATCCAGTAGAACGATGCAATGCAATAAAGCTGCAAAAATACAACGAAAGTGTTTAAAGCTCTTATTCTCTCGACATATACCAAATAAACCAAGAAGAGGAAAATGATGAGCTTGAAGCAAACAATAGCCAACCGGAAATTGAGCAAAATAGACCAAACGAAGATAAGAGTAACGAAACTGATTCATTTGAAAATAATAATGTTGAACCAAAACCGTCTTCGTCTACTTCGTCTATATTTAAATACTATCGGAAAAAGAATTGCCACAAAAAAGAAAAAGAAACAAAGAAAAAAATCGCCGGGTCCTCTTCGGACGTTGAAAATATTTCTTATCGAGAAGAAAGCGACACTGAAAATATGACCTTACAAGAAGTATTAGAAGAAGAAATGGAAAAGCAGGAGGAATTTAATTACTTAACAGCGGAAATAAAAATTGGGGACTATATTTTGGTAAAGTTTTGTGCAAAAAAAGTTACATTACGTTGAGCTAGTAGAATCAGTTAGAGAAGATGAGTTTTCTGTATCTTAATTGCGCCGAAAAGGTGAAACATTTATATTCCCCCAAATACCCGAAAAATATGATGTACGAAAGGACGATTGTAATGAAATTACCTGCTCCCACAACTCATGGAGGTACTGCCAGAGTTTCACAAAAATTGGTATTCATTGATATTCATAAATATAATGTGAACTAATTATTTTTTATTTTGTATTTTGTTTTTATATGCAAAGCGCAATTTAAGTTCCTATTAACGGTTAACAAATGTTTTTATTTTTTTATTTAATGTACTTAGAGTTGAGTTTATTTTTTGTTTAATTTGCGAACATTGATTTGTGTTGTTTTAATTGTATTTTACATACATTGTTCCTATTAAAAATTTGGCGTAGGAGGTAAAAATGACCCAAAAAGTGTTCTGTAATATTATTTTTAAGTTTTTACTGCTTTTTTTAAATAAAATTGAGAAAACCCATATAAATGTGTGATTCATTTTTGGACCAGGGTGTCTTAGTATTGCCTCAGACCACCGTTGTTAATATAAATGCCTGAAACTGTTATGTCTCATTTTTACCCACCCACTGTCTCATATTAACCCAAAGTGGCAGGTAAAAATGAGACAACGGTATTATTATTCGTCTCAAAACCCATAATAATTTCCTTGAATTTCTCGTTTTTGTGTTATTCTGCATCAAAATTTTCATAGTATGGCAATTTTTGAAAATTTATTTTAAAAAGATACCAGTTCAAAAATGAAAAGTTTCATAAAATGTCTCATTTGACCCTATAATTTTTAAAGATAAAATTATTAAGTTAGAATTTAATGCGTTAATTTATGATGCTCCAGCTAAAGCATCTGTAACTTATACTAAGGGTCATGATGGGTGTGGAAAATGCATTCAAGAGGGCAGTTCTATAAATAATAGAATGGCATTTTTAAAACTAAATAGTACATTAAGAACAGATGAGTCATTTAAAAATAAGTTTGATGAAAATCACCACACAGGAACCTCTATATTGGAGCAACTAGAATTTGGTAAGGTTTCTCAAGTACCTCTTGATTACATGCATCTTGTCTGCATGGGTGTCATGAACCGGCTTTTTCAATTCTGGCACAAAGGAAGACAAGATGTTCGGATTCCTAATATAAGATTCGAGAATTTGTGTCAGTTACTACTTTCATTTAAAACTTTGATACCAAATGACTTCTGTCGAAATCCCCGTAGCCTCACAGATGTTGATAGGTTTAAAGCAAACGAATTTGGTTAAATTTTACTTTATACAGACATGGTCATTTCTAAACATTTTCTTCCTGCAAAATTAAATGAAACTTCACAGGGGTTGATTGAAAATTTTATAACTGAATATGGTGAAACACTTTATCACTTTTAATGTACATAATTTATCACATTTTCAAATGTATGTTACAATAGAATGTGTATTGATACTTACAAAATTTTGTTAACATATTGTGTTCTTTTTTTTTAGATACCCTGGGTGAGGCAAAAAATAAAATACTCTCCGAAGGGGATGAAAATGGGGTGGGAAGAGGATTTAGGCAGGTTAAGCCAACCGACTATTTCAGCCCGGCTGAAGAAGATGAAAGATACAAACATAAAAAAAAGGCTTGATGCCAAAAAAAGTAAGCTCCTTTGGATAGGTATTTATGTGTATATTTGTTTCTTCCTTAGAACTGAATGTACTTGAAGATGAAGAAGAAGATATTCTATGATAATGTAGATAAAACTAAGAAAATAATTGTTTATTTTAGGACCAGAAGAGTACAATGAAGTGTACAGTGAAGGGCATGCTGAAACAGAAATTCTGGAGTATTATACTGAAAATGAGGTAAACATTTATTCCAAACATTCTTTATAATAAATATATTTTAATTGTACCTTGTTGACTTTGTGAGTGTAAAAATTATTTAAATGTAGAACTACTTCTTTAATACAGGATCTAGGAATGTTCATAATAACTTTATTAACCATTTTGTGATTGATATATTCACAAATATAAACTAGTATTTAAAGATAAACAGCTAGGCTCTTAATGTGGTTAACAAAGTATATGTAATACTGACAGACAATGCTCTGTCATTACTGGGTTGTGTTTGGCCATAACAAATTTACTTAAGAATTAATTAGTTAAAACGCAAATATTGATAAGAATTCATTTTAATTGTTGATTGTTTAGAAACCTCACACCTGCCATTGGAAGGTTTCTGCCATATCATTCAATTAAATTCATTATTTTGTTTTGTTTCATACAGATAATAATATATAGCCTTTTTTTATTAGACAGACAGTGACATCCAGGGAATTAAGAATAGCGTAGAAAAAATAATTTCACTTTTAACGATGAACAAAGTAGATATCGAAAACATTAAACAGCGATTAGATGGAATCGGCGAAAATCCTACTAACCAAATTACAGATACAATGGAAGAGATGCCTGTTAATTTTCCTTAAAAAACATTAACCAATATCGAGGAATTGGAGGATTACGTCCAAACTAACACAGGAAAAATTGCTTTTGTGAGTTTTACAATTTTTACCTACTTCTGTTACATTTATTATTCTAATTTCTTAATGAACATATTGTAGAAATGTTATAAAAACAAATTAGTAACAACTAGTGAAAAATTGCAATGTATTTAGTTAGCAATAATTTTTCTAATTTCAAAATATTGTACATTGTCAAATTTAACAGGCATTTAGATCAGTGGACTAATTCTCAAATTAAGAAAATAAGGCTTATCCTATAAGTAACTGACAACATTTTTGATTTTTCATCCTATAATTTTATCAGTTCTAATTTTTTGGCTAATTTTAAAACTATAGAATTAAAACCAGATTCAATGATTTGAAGCAACAAAAATAATAACTTTAATTTTGGACTCTATATAGTCTCTGTAGTGCTTTATTATATTGAATAGATATCGTAAAAATTTAATTTTAGTTAAAAACGATCAATTATCCTTAATCTCAAATGTTGTCAATTTTCTAAATTAAAAATGAAAATCAATAGCACATATATTTTTTTAAATTTTAGTTGAATATATTTTATTTCAGCAAAGACATTAAAAATATTGGGGAAATGACGCCAAGGATTTTATTTTAAGAATTCTCAGACATATGTTGACAAATTCTCTAGCCGAATTATTGTCATGGACAGGACGCACGGGAAATATTCCAATTAAACAATTACATTGTATCAATATTATATTTGGTAAGCAACCCTTTATTAAACTAATAATTTTTTATTTAGGAATTACCCGTTTATTTAGTAACAGTTAATAATAGAAAATACCAGATAATGTTCAAAGAGGAGATTGATGGTATATTTTGTAACTTAAAATTTTGAAATTTTTTTTATGAATAATAAAGTTCAAAATATTTTTTTTTATCTATTCATTAGCCCGAGTTATTAATTTTTTTAAATTTATAACGTCACCGAAAATAGACCAATAGGAAATAGCCACACAACGTTGCCTGTTAAACGGTATACCGTAAAATGGGGTTCATTGGGAACCGCGGGGCTATTTGGGACCTAACGAAAAAAACTTAATTTGGCAACGCCGCCACAACAGATGCACGTCTAACCAAAATGTGCGGGCCGCACCACGTGGTAGCATGTTTAGGGCGAAAGTGATGACTCGTTTCAGTCCGTTGAATTAACTGTTAGAAGCGTGAGGTGACTTGCAAAAAATTGTGAAAATCGACGTAAAAAACGATAGTGTCCAACTTTCTGTTCTCGGAATTGGATTGCTAGTGATAAGGTAAGTTTGATAGTTGTAACTAATTGTTAGGTGACTGTAGATGACCCAACATAAATATTGTAAAGATATATTACATGTTAGATTTTTAATAGGCTATTTTTTTTGGTGGGGTAATTTGGGACATAACAATGGGATTATTTGGGACAGCAAAAAAACATGAAATATATGACCGGTAACAGTGATTTTTTTGCCTCTAGGCTGTAAAAATGGTGCGAAACTATCGAAGCAAAATGAGCAATTGCCGAAAAGGAAAAAATTTTAACCCATACTTCTCCTATTCGGAGATTAATTTAGCGAAAGCCCTAGATGATATAAAAAAACAAAAACGAAATATTAGAGCCGCAGCCGAAAAGTATGGTATTCCTAAATCCACGCTAGGAAGGAAACTTCTTGGTCAAAATATGCAGCAAAAGCGTCCGGGTAGACCGAGCCTGTTCAACGATGATGAAGAAAATGTTTTTGTTCAAAACCTGAACACGGTTGCTTCATGGGGCTATCCATTTGACTTGAGAGACTTGAGAATGATGGTGAAACGATACCTCGATAAGAAAGGAGTTCGGGACAGAAGATTAAACGAAAACATGCCGGGAAAAGACTGGGCTGTCAATTTTATCAAACGACATAAAAATGAAATATCAAATCGCCTTTCGGCTAATATATCAACCAAACGGGCCGCTCTTTCAGAAGATGTGTTAGATCGGTTTTTTGAAAATGCCTCCCAAATGTTGTCTGAGACGGATCCTTCTCTTATTATTAATTTCGACGAGACAAATCGCACAGACGACCTAGGGTCTAAAAAATTCATTTATAAGAGGGGCACCAGATACCCAGAGAGGATAATTAATGCCACCAAAACCGCAATTAGTCTGATGTATGCGGGAACAGCCGATGGACAGCTTCTTCCAATATATGTTGTTTACAAGGCTGATCATTTATGGGATTCCTGGACCGTCGGTGGTCCTCCAGGTACAAGGTATAATCGTTCCAAGAGTGGCTGGTTCGACAGTATATGCTTTGAGGATTGGTTTTTCACTGTAGTAGTACCATTCTTTCGGAACAAAGATGGTCAAAAGGTACGTAGGCTCTAGTTTTTCCAAACTTTTAGGTCCACTTATTTTAATTTTTTTTTAGGTCCTTATAGGAGATAACCTCTCCTCACACTTTTCAGAGAAAGTTCTCCAGAAGTGCGAGGAATTAAATATTGCATTCATATGTCTGCCACCTAATGCAACACACGTTATGCAACCGCTAGACGTTGCGTTCTACGCGCCACTAAAAAAAAATTGGCGAGACATTCTAAGCAATTGGAAGAAGACAGCTGGTCGTAAATTTCCGTCATTAACAAAAGATGCATTCCCCAGCCTTTTATCATAAGTTGCAAGAAAAACTTGATGAAGGGGGAAAAGGCTCGTCCAATTTGGTGTCAGGATTTTCCAAAACTGGGCTATATCCTGTAGACCCATCAAGACCGAAAGAAAGACTACCTAGATTACAGGAACCGGTAAATGTTGCTAATGTAGTATCTGACGTGATAATAAATATTTTAAAAGATATGAGATCTGGGGACCAAACAAAGAAAGTTGCTCGACGTAAGAGGCTTAATGTGGAGCCTGGAAAAAGTGTGTCGGCAAATGATTTATCCATGCCATCTACATCTGGCAGTATATCGAAACAGCCGATATGTCAACCTAAACGACTAGACCGTGCTGAAAATGGGCATAATAGTTCCGAAAGCGATGAAGAACATGGGCAAGAAAATAACGAATCTGAAAATTTTTCCGATAATAGTGATGATTTGCCACTAATAAACATAAAAAAATCCTTACAACATTCCAAAAATGCTGAATTATTCAGCGATGAGGGAGCAAGTATTTCAGCTGAAGTAAAAGAAGGCAGTTGGATAGTGGTCGAGTATGAAGTAAAGAAAAGTACAAAGCACTTTATCGGCCAAGTTAAGCAAGTTCTTGACTCGACACTACATGTGGAATTTTTAAAAAAATCGGACAAGTCCAGTGGAAGGTTTATTACTCCTCTTGTACAGGACACTGATCATATAAGTGGAGATATGGTCGTGAAGATCTTAACACCACCAATATTAACGGGAACAGGAAGAAGGAAATTTTACAGCTTCAATATTGATCTCATGCCTTTTAATTTTTAAAGAGTGTCAAAACAAACCTAATTTTGTGTTATTTTTGCCAAAGAATTTATTTTTTTTTTATTTTTTGTAACTTAGGATATTATTTGCAAACTTTTGGTTATAACTTCAGAATAAATGTTTACTTTTTTAAAATTTATTTTAGGTGTCCCAAAAAGCCCCTACAATCGATATTATTCGAGTTCTAACGTAATTTGCTATTAATCCCAAATAGCCCCACCCTACGGGGTAATTTGGGACAGCTATAAAAAAAAATTTTTTAGTCCCCCTCCATAATGGGGGAGGCTTATTGTTTTATGTAAGACAGATACACCTACTACCTTTCCAAATATATATAAACAAGGTGGATAATAAGTACAAGTTTGAAGTACCAACAAAAAATGTTTCAAATTTGTCCCAATTAACCCCGTTCTACGGTACGAAAAGTAATATAAGTTCGTTTGTGTGCACCTTCTTACTTTTAGACTTCTAAAATATCGTTAAACAAATATCTTTTAATTATAAAATATCAAATGTTTTTAAAAGTATTATTTATGTTTAAACTTTCACCATATTTATAGTTTCATTGCTTTAAAAAACGACAACTAATAAACAAGAAAATGGAAATACAGCAGCACTGCATGTGTCATCTGTGAATCAGAAATTTTTGTGTTGTCAATCGATAATTATGCAAGTTTGGTGTTTTCATAAATATTATGAGTATGAAAAAAATGTTTCCTCCCAAGATGTGATAATGATTTACATTTTACATCTATTATTAAAAATATTTATTAGTTTTGCTAGAAATATGAAAAGACGAAAATTATTATCATCACACAGAAAGGTTTCATGGAACAGCTAAATTATTTTGTTGAGGTTTGTATCTGTACTCTTTATTAAAATAAAAATGTTTTATTGTAATTTAATTATTCAATTATCTACCATTGTAGTAACGATATTTTTTTCTTTTTTTTTTTTTAGATACCAGATGATTTTGAAAACTGTTCATTTTTTAAATGATGCATAAACCTTTACATATAAGAAGTGGGTAGTACCACACAAATGTCTCCACAGTTCTTGTTATTCACCACACAAGAGCCAGCTCACTGATTCTACCAAAAAAAGAAAAACAGAAAACAAAAAATGTTGACTGGAAAATAACCTTCTACTAGAGGCCTTTTTCATCTCTATCTAATAAACATCTTCAAGATGCAGCAGCAATGCCCCCTTCGGTTAATTTAAAATGAGCCTACTATAAGTTCAAAGGTGTATATCCTAAAACCAGAGAATCTTCAGCTTTCTAAAGTAAAATCAGTTAAAGATTTAGGACTATTAATTGGATGTCAGAATAGTTCTGATAATGAGAAGCTGAAACGAATGATGTGTGATAAACTGGCGGACTCCTATGATGTAGAAGAGGTATCTGGATTTTTTCCTAGGTTACGAGTAGTGGGTATGACAAGGAATTTTTCAGAGTCTGATCTGCGCAGTCATAATCTAAATGGTAATTCTAGGATATTCTCGGGCGACTCATATTTAATAATATTAAAAATATATCCAACTAAAAAGCAACCTAACATTTGGCAGTCAGTCATACAAGTTACTAAGGCGGTATATGAGCGTGCATTGAATTCAGGAAACCTATTTGTCGGTTATGATAGTTGCGTAGTATATGATGCTGTTGAACTATTCCGCTGTTATAAATGCAATGAATTTTCTCACTCCTCGCGTAATTGCAATAAGGCTGTTTCCTGCCCTCTATGTGGAGAAGCACATGAATTGAAGGAGTGTAAGTCTAGCGTCAAAAATGCTCCAATTGTGTGAAACTAACCAACAAGAATGTTGACATCAATCATGCGGTTTGGAAAAAAGAAAAATGTACAGCATATTCCGAGATGTATAAAAAATTTAAAGATAAGTTATTTGTCACAATTTAGCAATCAAATATTTCGCATACTCCCCCGTACATGTTCCACAGGTAAAACCAGATACTAAAATAAGCTCAAAAAGTTTATCTATATTTTATCAGAATACCAGAGGATTAAAAACAAAAACTAATTATATTTCGGTCTCATCTCATAAATAATAGAACAAATGTAGTACCCCCGGTATGTATGGAATCACACAATATTCAAAGCTTTACGAAAAAAAAACCTGTTATCGCCTTTCACCTGCGAGCCTCTGCCAGCTATTATTGTCATTCTCTGTTGTGTGTGGAATCTACAAACACGCTGTAAAAATTTAAAATTTTAAACTCGGTAATTAAAATATTGTGCGCGGTTTCGTTTTAGGTGTTAATATGCCGAAACATAAAAGAAAACACAAGGAAACTACTTCAGAAACCAGTGAAAGGCTTAATAGACTGGAAAAAAGCATAGAAAAATTATTAAAAAACAGCCGCAATTCGGTCTCTAGAAAACGAAGGCGCATCGAAGAATCTAGCAGCGATAGCGACAATAGTAGCCTGTCTTCAATGGAAAAAAATGAGAATTTGGATATCAGGCACAGTAGTGCCGACTCCGATAAATCTATATGTGAAGGTAAATTATCCTTTTATTTCGTTATAGTAAAATTAAATTCAATTTTTTGCTCATTTTATTTTCTGTTTGTGATAACAGAAAAATTCTTAGCTGATGACAGTTATAAATTCCGATTGTGATGTCGGAACAATTTAATTCTTATAACAATACAATGTCCTGATTGTGATGTCAGAATATAAAAGGGAAAAATGCTTAATTTTTTAAATAAAAAACAATTTCTGATTGTGATGTCAGAGTAATGCTATTTGAGGGTACTATAATGTGTAGTCATAATACTCGGAATACCGATTTGAGAATGTATATTGGATATAATATATACGGGGTGCGTACTATATATATATATATATATATATATATATATATATATATATATATATATATATATATATATATATATATATATATATATATATATATATATATATATATATATATATATATATCATTTTCTTTCATGATAATAAATATATTTTTTTGTTTTTACTGATTTTGAAACACTTTAATGTACTGTTATAACGTCGGGTAAACACTTATTCGATGAATGTTTTAAATTCTGGTTGTGATGTCAGAATACAAAAATAAGAAAAATTTATATTTTCCAAAACATTTTGCTTTTGATGAGCTACGTATCATTTCTGATAGTGATGTCATCTTATGACACTGCAAATAATAATAGTCCTTCCTTCTCCAACACAAGTCAGTCAGCTTCAGGGGTTGAAATTTACTCTTGAGGGGGTAAATTAGGGAGAGTATTATTATTATTAGTATGAGAAAAATAATTTTATATGTATAAAAAAAAAGGGGGGCGCCTCTATACATATATATATATTAAAAAAAAAAAAAAAAAAATCTAAAACAAAGCATTCTTTACAGAAGATAATGCCCAAATTGATAATAATCAAAAGCAAACCATAGAAGTAAACCAAAGTAGTCCAACATTGAATCAAGAAATGTTATCATTGCTTGGGAAAGATTCAATTAAAGAAAAATTAAAAGGACCACCCATACAAAAAGATCTAGCGTCAAGATGGAACAATGTCTTAATAAATGGTATGACAGAAGATGAAAAAATGGAACTGCTTGAAAAATACCCCACTCCGGAAAACTGCAACAACGCAGCTCCTAAAATAAACAAATTAGTTGCGGGGGCATCTTCAGACAAGCGCTACCATATGGTACTTCGCAGAGATGAAAAAATAGCTGCACGACAAAATCAAATATGCGCCAGCATAACTGCAATAGGTTCAGTCTTATCAGAACTCGTTTGGAAAACGAGGGAGATAAAAAATATATTCAGGCCTTAAGTGATGCAGGAAGACTTTTACTAGATATTATCAATAAAGAGAACAAGTCGAGGAAAGAACTTATTTCAATTAATTTAAATTCAAAATTAAAAGAAACTTTGGACTCCGCTAAGACTGATGAATGGTTGTTTGGTAAAGATCTAGAGGAGATCATAAATTCCTCGAAAAGTCTAGAGCAGTCTAGCAAAATATTATTAAAGCAACCCACTGATAAAACAAGTCAGCAGTTAAACTTCAGGAGTCTGCCCCGGTCAATACAGGGAAATCGCCAGAGCAGACAACAAAAAACCAGAATTCCCATGCAGAGTCGCTACAAGCAGTACAAGGACACATCGAACCGATATCCCCTCCAGAATCGGTATCCCCCTCAGAATCGATACCAGGAATACAGGAAGGGAACTCAGATGAAAAATTTGAGGAGGAACTAAAAAAAGTTAGTGTCACAGCCGGAAGGTTAAAATATTTTTCTCGAAAATGGCAAAAAATAACAAATGATAAAAAAGTCCTATTATGGATTAAAGGCTTAAAACTCCCATTTATTAAAAATCCAATTCAAACAGTAGTTCCCAATGAACAAAAATGGTCATGTTCAGAGAAACACATGATTATAAATTCTATTAATCATTTATTAAAAATGGGAGCCGTTAGCATAGTTAAGCCTTCAATCCATCAATACCTTTCAAACATTTTTTTAAGACCCAAACCTGATGGATCCAAAAGACTCATCCTAAATTTGTCTAAATTAAACAAATTTATCAAAACAAACCACTTTAAAATGGAAGATCATAAAACGGTAACAAAACTCATAAGCCAAAAATGCTACATGTCTACTATAGATCTCAAGGATGCCTATTTTTTATTGCCCATTGCAAAAATACATAGAAAATTTTTAAGATTTCAGTTCGCAGGAAAATTATATCAGTTTAACTGCATGCCATTTGGCCTTAATTGTGCCCCACTAGTGTTCACAAAATTAATGAAACCCGTAATTAGAAAATTAAGAGAACAGAACTTAACATCAGTTATTTATTTAGACGACTTACTTCTAATTGGAAAATCGTTTTCAGATTGTAAAAACAACGTTCAAACAACCATAAAGTTACTGGTTTCCTTGGGATTTATAGTAAACCATGAAAAAAGCAAACTTCAGCCAAAACTTCAGCAAAAATTCTTAGGCTTCATTTATAATTCAGAATCTATGACAGTTTTTCCTCCGTCAGAAAAAAGAGAAAAAGTTAGAAATCTTGTTAAGCAGTTCAGTTCAAAAAATCAATGCAAAATAAGAGAATTTGCCAGTTTTATAGGAACTCTAATTTCTATATGCCCGGCCATAAAATATAGTTGGGGTTATACAAAGGCATTTGAACGTGCTAAGTTTGTAGCTCTTCAGAAAAATAACGAAAACTATAACGCCATTATGAAAATCCCATCTGATTTGCAAAATAATTTTAATTGGTGGTTAAATAATATATCTGCAGGGTACAACACATTTAAACCTTTAAAATTTCAGCTAGAAATTTTTTCAGACGCCTGCAAAACCGGATGGGGCATTTGTAGTGGATCGGTAAGATCACACGGATTGTGGAATGTTAAAGAAAAAGAATTACATATTAATTATCTAGAACTCCTTGCATCATTTTTTGGACTGAAATGCTTTGCAAATCACTTAAAAAACTGTGATATATTATGCAAAATTGATAACACCACTGCCATATCCTACATTAATCGAATGGGTAGCATTCAGTACCCACAGCTTAACCGTCTAGCCAGAGAAATATGGCAGTGGTGTGAGGTAAGAAATAATTTTATTTATGCAAGTTACATAAATTCAAAAGACAATTTTGAAGCGGATGACGAGTCACGGAAAATAGAAAAAGAGACTGAATGGGAGCTTAAACAAACAGAATTTCTTAAAATAATTAAAACATTTAATAAACCAGACGTTGACTTGTTTGCTAGTAGAATAAACAAAAAATGTGAGAAATTTGTATCTTGGCGGAGGGATCCAGAGGCCTGGGCTGTTGATGCGTTCACACTAGATTGGAGCAAATTTTATTTTTATGCATTTCCTCCTTTTTGTTTAATTTTAAAAGTATTGCAAAAAATTATAAATGATAACGCATCTGGTATCTTGATAGTCCCAAATTGGACAACTCAGCCATGGTATCCTCTCTTTAAATCGCTACTTACAAAAGAACCCATTCACCTGAAACCAAATAAATCTTTACTTCTTTCTTTTGATAGGACTCCTCATCCGCTGTGGAAAAGCATTTCCCTGGTGGTAGGGCACTTATCCGGGAAGCTTTAACCCGAGGAGAAGTTCCCGAATCAGCAAGGGACATTTGTATGGCCAGCATAACTGAATCAACAATCAAGCAATATAATACAGGATTAAAATTATGGTGGTCGTTCTGTCAACACAAAAAATGGGACACTTATATGGTGTCAGTTCCGTTAGTGCTGCAATTTCTCACTCATCAATTCCATAACGGGGCAACCTACGGAACACTAAACTCTTATAGATCTGCAATAGCTCAAATTGCAGGACCAGAATTGGCATCAGATTTCAGGGTCAAAAGATTTTTTAAAGGTGCCTTTAACAAACGGCCAACAAAACCAAAATACACCATTACTTGGGATCCAACAACGGCATTAAATTATATTAAAACACTTAAAGAACCGCTAAACTTGGAACAACTTAGTTATAAGCTTATAACATTACTAGCAATTGGAACAGGACAAAGATTACAAACCATGGCACATATTGAAATTGTTAATATTGTTAGTGATTAAAAAGGAATTACAATTAGAATTACAAAGAGGATAAAAACATCAGGCCTAAATAAATTGCAACCAACCTTACTTTTACCATTTTTTAAAGAAGATCCTTCTATCTGTGTGGCCAAAACAATGTTAACCTACCTAGATAAAACCAAAAATTTACG